ATATGTTATTTGTATCTCACATTCACAACTCTTAGTGATTAAAAAATCACCAAAACTTGAATCTATGGATTTTGTTATTTAATTTATTAGAATATTAGTTCAATTAAATAATAGATATTGCCATACATATGCATTGATTATATATATTCAAAGTGTTTATGTCCAAAGTTGATTGGATTTAGGGCATAACACTTACAGTAAGTTCCATTAAAGGATCTAACGAACAATATAGCTCTTTGTATAACAAGAAAAAGATGAGTTTTACATGGGTATGTCTTCACAGCATTTTCTTTTTTCCCAATGAATGTATACAATGATTGTAAGAAAATGGTTCCTTAGAGTCTGTCTCTTGATTCCTCAAACAATCAGAATTGCTGTTGAACTGGAGCCTATTTTCTGGTTGTTTTGCAACTGATTTTGGTTTGAATCTTCAACTTTATGGAGTCTTAGTTAGTTAGGTAGTTAATATTCATTTTTGATACCCCTTTGCCTATAAATACTTGTATTAGATCTAAAGAAAGGGGGCAACTCGGAAATGAAAAGTAAGAGAAAGTGAGATTAGGAAGAGTGGTAAAACTCTTATAAATCTGGGTAAAAATCTTTCTGATGATTTTTAGTTTGTAAATTATGTTTAGTCTGGGTAAATAAAGACTGGGAAGAGGATTTATTCCACTTCAAAAATCTGTTCTTTTTCTTCTTGCTGGTTTTTTAATAATCTGTTATCTGTTTTTGCTGCTTCTTCTGTCGGTGCAACTTCTACATCTATTAATTCTCAAACCTAAAGGAAGTCCAGTAGCCCCAACAATGATGATACATATACATATTTTACCTGGATGCTGCAGTGCCTTCCTTACTTCCTTTATATACCATGGGAAAATTGCACAATAATCTTACACTCAACTTAATTTTTATCAAATATTCTGAAAATCGGTCTAATAATCTATTTGAAAAAGTTGAAGGGTCAAACGACAAATCAAAGTCGAACTGAGGTTGACCTGGAATAAAAATAATAAATAAATAAATAACTTTATATACTACATTAAAATTTTCTATTAATTAAAATATCACTTTAAAATCAATTACTTAACATTTTATTATTTGCGGTGCAATTTATTTCAAGTGATTAAATTAAATGGAGCAAAACAATGTTATAAAGCCCATATAATGAAAACCATACATTGAATAAAAGTGTGACCAGATACGACGCACAGACGAAATGCCATATCTTGATAGTGAGTGAGAAATTAAATGGTCAAATGTTAAGTTGACCGCTAAATGCGTGGCTAAGTGCACTTTATTAATTTTTTCTTTTTTTATTACTTTTTATTTGACTTTTTAAATGACTTTATATGTATAAAAGTAAAAAAATGAAAACACATTAGAAAATTTCAAGCTACAATATTATCTACATTACATAATTATTACTTTGAGACTCATTATTTTATTGAACATTTCGAAATATGTATGAAAGTCCTATAAATTTATTAATTATGACCTGTCTAGTTGAAAGTTGAAACTACGAAAAATAGTCTAGCTTTTATATTTCAAAAACTTCAAAAATATATAATTGTTATAAAATTAAAGGAATAAAAGAGAAATATAGAAAGTCAAAACTTAGGTGTATATTTTATTAATAATCAAGACTCGTATTTATAGGATTCAAAATGAGAGTTACAAATGGAATGAAATAGATTCTCTAAATTAGATAAAACTTATCTATGCAAGTTGATAAGACCATATCAATATTTGCCATATATTTATACAACACTCCTCATTTGATGATTAATTACGTAATAATTATATCATTGAACATTATTTGGCGAAAATCAGATGGGAAAAAAAAATACCAATTGAAGATACCAATTTCTGACACTCTCGCCTGAGCACTAAGCCCAACGAGTTAGAATCGATTTAGACCCAATGGATGATGATCTCCTCGGGGCTTAGTGTCCTCAGGTCGGTCACCTACGGCCTATCAGTTACTAATCTGCCAGAAGTACATTTCATGTCAGTTGTAATGCCTTAGGATGCAGAGTCCTATTGAAAATGTGATTCCTCATTCTAAGAGGATGCTAGCACCAGAATCACACCTCTATCCAAACACGTGGGTAATGCAAAACCAGTTGAGTTACAACTTCCAATCATATTAGGACTCATAGGGAGTTCAACATTGCAATCCTACTAGGACTGCACCACCTACCTATGTAAATACATGATTCCAATTCATCATCAAGGTACGTTTTTACATATATTTACAGCATATATCTCTTCTCTACATTCTCTCTCTGACTTAAGTATCGGAGGGGCGACGAGGATACACCTCGACGCCTTTGTTTCAAGTACCGGAAGACCTCTCTCGTGCTTATTCGCAGTCCTCAAGCTCAGATCAACATGTATGATTTTTGGTGCCGTATGTGGGAAACGTTACCAAAAGTCATGGTCAACACACGTTCAGGTCTTCCTCTGGAAAGTTCATCCGTACCAAACCCACCACCAGTTGCGAAGCCCTCAGCTAATTAAGAAGAATCATATATAGTACCAGCTGCCCAACCACAGGTGATTGATGCTGGTGCCTTCGAAGAACTTCGTTAACAAGTGACAATTCTGACCTAATTACTAAGCTAAAGGGATGTTTATCTTACGCTAGAACAACTGCCGACGCCCATAGTTGGACAACAAGTAGGTTTCATGGCCGATGCTATATCTCGGGATACTTGAGAAGCTCATAACAATGGCGGATCCGGGGCCTCGGGTGTGCCGCCAGTAGCCTCCACCTCGAGGTTGGTCACCATGGACTTAAGAGGACTA